AAGGAAGAAGGGATATTCTATTATTTGCAGATGACATGATTTCATACATAGAAAACCCTAAAGACTCCATCAAAAATCTACTAGACCTAATAAATGAATTTGCAAACTAGCAGGATACAAAATTAATGTCAAGAGATTGACGGCATTCTTATACACCAATGATGAACTCACAGAAAGAGAAAATGAAAAAACAATTCCATTTACCACCGTGGCAAAATAATTAAGATACCTATGAATAAACTTAACCAAAGAAGTAAAGGACCTATTTGCAGAAAACTACAGGACATTGAAAAAAAAATAGAGAAAGATATAAAAAAGTGGAAGCACATACCTTGTTCATGGATTGGAAGAATTAACATCATTAAAAGTTCATATTATCCAAAGCAATCTATAGATTCAATGCAATCCCCATCAAAATACCAACGACATATTTCACAGAACTAGAACAAGTACTTCAAAAGTTTATATGGGACCAAAGCAATCTTGAAAAAGGACAAATTAGGTGGGATCACAATAACAGATATCAGGTTACACTACAATTGGACTGTTATCAAGACAGCCTGGTACTGGAACAAAAACAGGCATATAGACCAGTGGAACAGAATAGAGTACCCAGAAATGGACCCAAGGCAATATGCTTAATTAATATTTGACAAAGGTAGCAAGAACATGCAGTGAAGTAAAGACAGCCTCTTTAATAAATGGTGTTGGGAAAATTGGACAGCTACATGCAAAAAAAAATAAAACTGAACCATCAATTTATACCATACACAAAAGTAAACTCAAAATGGATAATAGACTTAAATGTGACCTGTGAATCTAGAATAATTCTAGAAGAAAATGTAGGCAACAAAATTTCGGACATTATACGTGGCAGAATTTTCACTGATACATCACCTAAGGTAATAGAAAAAAAGGAGACAATGAACACATGGGACTACATCAAAATCAAAAACTTCTGCACAGCCAATGAAACAACCATCAAAATGGAAAGGCAACCCACTATATGGGAGAAAATCATTGCCAATGATACATCAGATAAGGGGTTAATTTCCAAAATATATAGAGTACTCATATAACTCCACATAGTGAAGAAAAAGAACAAAATTAAAAAATGGGCAGAGGAGCTGAATAGACACCTCACCAAACAGGACATACAAATGGCCAAGAGACATATGAAGAAACATATGTTGAGACATATTCTCAACATCACTAATTATCAGAGAGATGCAAATTAATACAACAATGAGGTATCACCTCACACCTGTCACAATGGCCACCATCAACAAATCATCAAACAACATGTGTTGGCGAGAATGTGAAGAAAAGGGGACTCTAGTATACTGCTGGTGGGAATGCAGACTGGTGCAGCCACTATGGAAAACAATATGGTGTCACCTCAAAAAATTATAAATTTAACTGCCATTTGACTCAGTGATCCCACTTCAATGAATATACCCTAAGAATCCTGAAACACCCATCAGAAATAGTATATGTACCCCTATGTTCATAGCAGCAGTATTCACAATAGCTAAGATACAGCCCAAGTGTTCATCAGTAGACGAATGGATAAAAAAGCTGTGGTACATATACACAATGGAATACTATGCAGCTGTAAGAAAGAAAGATCTCTTATCCTTTGAGACATGGAGAGACCTGGAAAGTATTATCCTAAGTGAAACAAGCCAAGGAGAAAAAGAAAAATACCACATGATCTCACTTATATGGAATATAATGAATAAAGCAGTCTGAGGAATAGGGTAGACCCAGAAATACGGAAGTAGGGTACAGACTTTCAACCCCCAGAAGAGGGCGTGGTGGGGGGAGGTAAGAGATAAACCTCAGAACTTTTATGCATGTATGCATAACCAATGGGACATGGACAACAGATCTGGGGACGGGCCATGGGGCATGGGGAGGAGGGTGTCAATGGTGTAAAAAAGGAGAAACATCTGTAACAAAAATAAAATTAAAAATAAAATAAAAATAATACCATATGATTTCAATTATATATGGAATCTAAAGAACAAAGTAAAGAAACAAACAAAATTTATGGTTGCCAGAGGGGATCGATGTTAAGGGCCTGGCTGAAAAATATGCAGAAATTTAGAAGTACAAATTGATAATTACAAAATAGTCATGGTGATGTTAAGTACAGCATAAGGAAAATAGTAAATAATTGTGAAATAACTTTGCATGGTGCCAGGTTGTATACTTGAAATATAGGTAAGAACAGATTGTAAAGTATATGATTGTCTAACCACTATGTTATACTCTTGAAACTGATACAAAATAATATTGAATGTTAACTGTAATTGAAATATAAAATTTAAATTATACATTGATTGATAGATTCAAAAAAAGCAAGGGAAGATAAAAAGTAAATTTTGGGAACGGTTCTCCACCTTTGGAGATGCAAGGGCATAGAATAGATGAAAAAAAAACAAAGGTAGCTACAATGGTACTGGAGATGTTTTAATTCCTAAATTGGCCAGTAAGTTTATAAGTGTTCATTTTATTATTAGGCTTCTTATTTTACATGACTGTTATTCTTTATTTTTTGTTAATATTCACCCGAGGTTCTTTTTTCTATTGATTTTTTTTTTTTAGAGAGATAGTGGGAGGTAGGGAGAAATGGGGGGGAAGATCAATGTGAGAGAGATGCATCAGTTTTCTTTTAGATGGTGGAAACAAATATTTACTAAGGACAGTACTCAAACTTTGGAAACATTTAAAAACTTACATTTGTAAACATTATGCTTCTTTCAAACAGCAGTCCTTTGAAAATACAACACAATTTGAATCTTAGCACAAATTATTTCCATGTTTGACCACATATAAGTTATTTCCTATAATAAAAACAAGTAACAGTTTTAAGCAAGTTTAACAAACTGGATACAATGATAATGTGTACAATTTGAAGAAGCATAGGGTTTTTAAAATTTTTTATGTCTTAAGGATGACCTTGTATTAAAGGTAAAAAGAAAGGCTATGTTGGTCAAGAAGTATTTTATAATACTCATTATAGGTTTCTATTTTGCAACGAGTGTAATTTGGATTCAAAGACACTGGATCCTCTACTTTAAAAAAAGAAAGTGAAACAAAAACTTTGGGGGGCTGTGAGGGGTAAAAGGGATCAGATAAAATAGTACAGAAAAGTGTCCTGGCAGGGAGCTTCATCCCATACACCAAAATGTTGTGGATTCAATTCCCTGTTGGGAACATACCTAGGCTCTGGGTTCATTCCCCAGTAGGAGAGTGTATAGTAGGCAACCGATTAATGCTTCTTTCTCATATGGATGTTTCTGTCTCTCTCTAAAATCAATAAACAGCCTGGTACTGGCACAAAAACAGGCATATAGATTAATGAAACAGATCAGAGAACCCAGAAATTGACCCAAGACATTATGCTCAATTAATATTTGACAAAGGAGAAAAGAGCATACAATAAAGACATTCTCTTCTATCAATGGTGTTGGGAAAATTGGACCAGTACATGCAAAAGAAAAAAAATTAATCTAGGCCACCAACTTACACCATAAATGAGGATAAACACAAAATGGATAAAAGACTTAAATGTAAGTCATAAAACTTTAAAATCCTAGAAGAAAACATAGGCAGAAAAATATCAGGCATCTCTAGTAGCAGAATTTTCACTGATACAATGCCTAGGGTAAAATAAACAAAGAAAAAAAAATGTGATTACATGAAACTAAAAACTTTTGCACATCAAAACGGAAAGGGAACTCACTGTATGGGAGAACATATTGGCCAATGATATATTGAATAAGGGGTTAATTTCCAAAATATATAATGCACTCATACAACTCAACAAAAGAAAGACAGACAATCCAATTTAAAAATGGGCAGAGGGCATGAATAGATACTTCTCCAAAGAGGACATACAAATGACCAAGAAACATGAAAAAATGCTCAAGGCCACTAATCATCAGAAATAAGCAAATTGAAATGACTATGAGGTATCACCTCACACCTGCCAGAATGGCTACCATCAATAAATCAACAAATAACAAGTGCTTGTGAGGAGGTGGAGAAAAGGGGACTCTAATACAGTGCTGGTGGGAATGCAGACTGGTGCAGCCACTACAGAAAACAGTGTGGAGTTTCCTTAAAATATTAAAAACAGAACTGACATTTGATCCAGTGATCCGACTTCTAGGTATATAGCCTAAGAATCCCGAAACACCATTCATAAAGAATATATGCACTTCTATGTTCTTAGCAGTATTATTTACAATAGGTAAGATCTGGAAACAGTCCAAGTGTCCATCAGTAAATTAATGGATAAAAAGTGGTAGTACATTTATGCAATGGAATACTGTGCAGGTGTAAAAAAAAGAGAAAAATCTATTACCCTTTTAGGTAGCAAGGAAGGACTTGGAGATTATTATGCTAAGCAAAACAAGGCAGTCAGAGAAAGACAAATATCACATGATCTCACTTATATGTGGAATCTAATGAACAAAATAAACTGATGAATAAAATAGAACCAGAGTTATGGAAACATGGAACAGACTGAGGAATCTCAGAGGTAAGACATGAAGAGATTAACCAAAGGATGTATATGCATATACGCATTTCCCATGGACATAGACAATAGGGCAATGAAGGCCTGGAACAGCATGGGAACTAGGTGGAGCAGAGCAATGGGGGAAAACTAGGGGGGGGGGGGGCATCTGTAATACTCTTGACAATGAAGATGTAAAAACCAACAAAAAATACATATTCTCAGGTGAGGATTAAAACATTTTTCAAAAAAGCTAAGTAAAATTAAATACAAAGTAAATAATAATAGAAATAAAAACAAATCAACACAAAATAAAAATAAATATGAGTTAAAATAAAGAAAAAATTAAAATAGTAATTTTGGGAGTTTCAACAAAGAAGTTTTATCCCTTTAGAATTTCAGAGCAAATAATTTGGAATTTTAAATAAGCATATTTATTTATTCTGGTCTCATTAGCCCTTTTCTTGGGCTATTACTCTACTCGTTGCTGGTCATAATCCTTTATTAATCTTTTAATGTGAGCCAGCTTCTTATAAAGATACTGGTATCTATGTTTTTCTGCATCATAATTGGGATTAATTTGTCTCATTTTGTGATATTTTAGTGACATTTTTTTAGTAATGGTCTGATATTCTTTTGAGTCTGGAGGAAGGTGCTTCCTTTTTGAATCTAGATTAGTAAATATGTTAGATAAAGTCAGCATCTTGTCATACAAGGCCCGATATTCATCATAGTCTGCTTTAAATTCCTCTTTGTAATGCTGACGTTGCTCAGAGGAAACTATAGTGACATAGTTAGTCAAATAATCCTGTAGCCAAGATGTTGAACAAGTGCTAACCCTTTTAACTTCTTCACTGAAGTCTGGTTTTGCACCTTTACCTTGTCTCTCAGGATATGTCTTCTGTTTCTCCATCATCTCAATATGGTATTCATGATTATTTACTTTGTGTTCCATAAATTTATATTCAAATTCATTAGACATCAAATGTGTCTTTTCCATGAGCTTTGGACACTGTATATGAATTGAAATAGAGGCCAAGGTTTTCATAGAAGTATGTTTATCCCACTGGCTCTCACAGACTCTACTATTTTGACTAAAACTGACAACATATTGATCTTGACTCCCATGTTCTTCTGCAGTGCTACAGGAATTGCAGTTGGAATGCACTGGCTGAGAAGGATTTGAAACAGAAAAGTGTGTTCTGGGCAATGGTGAAAGGATGGGGTTGGCAGTATTTTCAGAGGGTGGTGGGAGACCCACAGCAGATTTTTTACTGCTATTATTTAAATAACCATTAGATGATGACTGTACTGCAGTTCTCATGTGAGATATTCTTACTTTTTTTTTCCTTAAAGGATCAATAACAGCTGAATTGTAAAGTTGTTCCTGAGAAGATGATGGTCCATGTATACTAGAACCTATAGGAGAATTTGGGTGATTGGTGCTTGTGGCATTCTGAAATAGACCTACTTTTTTGGAAAGCACCAACTCCAATGATTGTCTTTCTATTTCATTGTACCCAGGCCAATCTCTTTGGAGCTCTTCAAAAACATTATCCTTTAAGGTATATGAAAAATCCTGTGTATTCAGATTGGCTACCTGCTGCAGAATTTTTCCAAGGCAGTTCTTGTCTTTTTTTTGGATGCCATCTTTCTGAAGTCGAACAAGAAGTTCAGGTTTCTTGTAGTCTCTCAATGCCAGTAAGTGAATAACCCTGTCCCTATATGGCCGCAGATGGACACTGTTGGTAACCCGTGACTTTCTAATTGTATATGCAGGGTTAATGGGAGTTGTTCTTTTTCTCTCAGGCATTGGATCTGGAATGGTTTGTGGTGCTTTCCGAATTGGTACTCTTTTCCCTACATATGGTCTAATATTTTCCCATTTGTTGCAGAATCCCTCCTCTTTCTGGACCCTTCTTACTTGTGTCATCTGAAAAGAGTTGGTTGTTCTAGACCCCATTTCATCTTGCATCAAGGGCAGGCAACTGAGCTGTAAGGGACTATAGCTTGAAACGGTTTGTTGGTTATGGTCTTGATGGTTTTTATTATTCGTATTTGACAACTGAAAATTAAAGTTGTATACATCAGTGGGTGAATTAGTTGGGAGGGTATTGAAAAGCTCTTGGAGTCCTTGGGACTGAAGAGAAACTTGAAGGGGTATTGTGTTCTCATGATTCTGATGAGAGTCAATTGTCTGCATTGCTGACCTGGTAAGCTGCATGGGCAACACAGTGACATTATCTGGCCTTGGTCCTATGCTATTTACCTCCTCCACTGATACCTCTCTTTCTTGATATACTGTTTCTTGCACTGCCTTGCTTCCAGAGGCTGCCATACAGTCATATCTGTAAAGATCAAAGTTAAACAGTAAAATACTTTAGGAAACAATGACTCTCCTTAGCAAAAATTGTATCTCTTATTTCTATTACTTGTAACACTGTAATCTTAAAGATTTTTTTCAATGGCACAAAGGCAAAATTACCTGGTCGAGATAGAACCTGTGGAGGCAAAGTAGGATGCAAAGTCTAATCACTTTCCATTGTTTTTCCTTTCACATTTTTAGTTACTCTTCAGGAGGAACTATTAACTCTAGGTGGAAAGTGACAAAATATTCCCTGAGTTCAGTGCATAAATGCCATCTCCTTTTGTAAATCCACCATTAAGTAGAGGCACCTGGTAAAGGGATTAACAGGTTCCACAAGCATATGGAAACTAAAGGAGAAGGCTGCCAAGTAGCATGATTAGCATTAAGTCCTCCTTATATTTATGCTAACATGCTGGTGAGCTGTTGAGTCCCTGAGATTGGAACCTGGGCTATCAACAGGAGCTCTCATTTGGTAGGTAAACAGATAATTTTGTATTAAAAGTGGGTAAAAGCCAACATCTTAGAGGTACTTGTTTCTGTTTTTTTGACTCTCTATCACCAGTGAGTGGAAAGAATTTTCATCTTCTTAGCTTGCCACTTATATCCATTATTCTGCTGCTTTGCATTCCTTGTTCAGTAGATCCTCAGCAAATCACAGGATTATCCAGGTAAAATTGCCCATGCTGAAAGAAATATTGCAGCTAGGCATGCTAGTGGTATACAATTTTATCACAGAATATACAGATTACAAGAAATCAATTCCAACCAGTTTCACCCAAAAATATGTTACCCACTTCACACTTCCAGTCCATATAATTCTCAGATATACCTACCTTAACTCATTACATCACTTTTCATCTTATCATAAAACTAGAAAACCTCAGCATCATCCTCTACTACTCCCTCAAACATATTTCTCATTAAATTCCTTCCATAACATCCAATGAGCCTCCAAAATTCCCATTCATCCAATAGATAGTTATCGATCGCCCATGATGTGCTGGACAGTGTTCTAAATACTTGGGGATACTGCAATAAGCAAAACAGAAACAAACAAAAATCCTTGAACTCACAATGCTTACATTCTTGTCAGGTTTTCTCCATAACTTCTCAAAACCACCCATTCCTCTCTCATACGCAGCCATTGCTCTAATTTAGGCCAAGAACATCTTAGTCACTGTTATATACTCTCATTCTAGCTTGATTTCTTGCCTCCAGTCTTTTCTTGTTTAAGTCATTCTCCCAATTATCAACAATATTTCTAATCAACTTTGCTTTAAAGTAAGTGATCGTCCCCATTCCTTAAAGAATGTAATTAATAAAAAAGTGCTCAATATCACTAATCTTCTTGTAAATACAAATAAAACCACAGTGAGATATCACCTCATACCTGTTAGAATGGCTATCATCAAAAAGACAAAATTACAAGGATTGGTGAGGATGTGGAAAAAGGGAACCCTTGTACACTGTTGGAGGGAATGTAAAGTGATGCAGCCACTATGGAAAACAGCAAAGAGGCAACTCAAATAATTAAAAATATAATTACCATATGATCCAGCAATTCTACTTCTGGGTATATATCTGAAAGAAACAAAGTCAATATCTACAAAACATAACTGCACCCACATATTAACTGCAGTATTGCTCACAAACGCCAAAATATTGAAACAACCTAAGTGTTCATCAATGAATTAATATATAAAAAATAGAAGATGTGGTATATATATTATTCAACTATGAGAAAGAAAGACACAGTGACATTTGCAATAACATGGATGGATCTTGAGGGCATTATACTAAGTGAAATGTCAGACAGAGAAAGAAAAATACTGTATGATTTCTCCTATATGTCAAATCTAAAAGTGCTAAACTCATATCAACAGAGACTAGAACAGTGGTTACTAGGAGTTTGGGGCATGGGGTTGGGATAGGGGTATGAGGGAGATATTAGTTAAAGAGTACACATTTCCAGTAATAAGATGAATAAGTTCTCAAGATCAAATGTACAGCATAGTCACTATAAGTAATAATACTGTATTATGGAATTGAAAATTGCTAAGTGAGATCTTAGATATTCTTATCACAAAAAGGATAATTAGATGATGTCATTCGGGTATTAGCTAACACTATGGTATTATTTTGCAATATATAGGTATATCAAATTAACATGTTGTGTACCTTAAACTTATAGAATGGTGTATGCCAATTATATCTCAGTAAAGCTGAGGGGAAAACAAGATTAAAATTAAAACTCTTTTGTGTGGTACACAAAACCCTTATTATTCTGTCCCCAGCCTACCTTAAATCTTGTGCCATGTATTTAAATGCTACATTGATCTGTTTACTATTCTCTGAATGACCCAAGCTTGTTCCTTTGTCAGGTTTTTACTTGATACTCCTTCTGCTCACAAATGTTTGTCCCCTAGGTCTTTGCTTGCATTGATCCTTTACTTTATTTAGACTCTTTGCATGACCATTCTGTATAAAAAGTGACCTATTCACACACCTGCTCCAGTGCTCCCCTTCCACTATCTTATTTTTCTTTATAGACTATTTACTATCTGGAATTATATTACATATATTTGTTTGTTTAATGTAAGTCACCCTCACCAGAATGTGAGCTCAATGAGGGCTTGAGTGTTTTCAGTGTTTGACACTGCTGTATCTCCAGTGCCTACAACAGTGCCTGGCAGACATAGTAAGCCCACAATACATATTTGTTGAACAAATGAATGCAGTGATGCTCTCTACTTTTAAATCTCACTTTTGTTGGTTTTGGCCAGTTATATTTCTAGTCAACCTTAGAAACTCAAATCAAACATCAAATCATATATAAGATCTGTCTTTAGCAAAAAAAAATACTTCCCTTTATTATAATCCCAGAGCACTTTATATTACCTCCATGAAAAAACACCACACATTGCATCATATATTATGTATTTGTTTCCCCCACTAGACTCATCTATAACAGCTACATTCTACTCAATTTGGATGACTCTTCTTTTTGTCCCCAGTTGCAGATACATAGTAGAAGGTGCTCTCTAAATGTTGGTTGAGAGAATGAATAATAGTACCTTTGCATTTCTATAGGCAAAAATATATTATTATCATATCAAGAAGTTATATTGTCTGTTAGTGTCAGAGACATGTTCTGCTCCTCTTTAAGGAAAAATCTTCCTATTAACTCACAGCATACTTGTATTTTAAAAACTAAACTCACTGTTGCAGAGAGAATGTAAAATACTTCTTCATAAAAACAATGAACCACTGAAGTATATTCAACAATATAATGTTCTAATGTAGCACAAATGCTTTGTTTGATTTTTCCTGAGACTTTTAGTAGACACAGGAAGAAATAATATATCTTTCAGTATCCTTAACTCTGAAAATTTTAAGAGAGTAAACAAAATATTTCTAGGATAGTCCTATTCCAAGTACAAATAACAAAATATTCCTTAGCAAGAAACTGGGAAGGGGGCACATTATGACACAAAGTATAAAATGGCATTGATAGACATAAAAGAAGACTTAAAAACATGAAGAAAGTCTGGCTGATGTAGCTCAGTAGTTGAGCATCGACCCATGCACCAAGAGGTCACCAGTTCGATTCTCAGTCAAAACACATGCCCAGCTTGTGGGCCTGATCCCCAGTGTGGGGCATGCAGGAGGTGGCCAATCGACGTTCTCTCTCATCGATGTTTCTATCTCTCCCTCTCACTTCCTCTCTCTCTAAAAGTCAATAAAGGGGAAAAAAAGAATGGCAAGAATCCTACTTTTAAAAAAAATGATGAAAAATATCACAATTTCTGAAACAAAAAACTCATTACAAGGATGCCAAACATTTCCAGATTACTACACACATTTAGTACAATTACAATAAAAACTTGAGCAAGATTTTTTCTTTAAATCTGTCAAATGATTTTAAAACACAGTTGTTAAGAAGAGCTAAAATAATTTTACAAGGAGACTAAGAGCAAGGAACTATTCCTACCTGATATTATAACATAAAACTAAAATAATTAACAAAGTAAGAAATTAGTATAAGCAGAGATCAAGAATAAAATTGAACAGATATCTGAGATACAGAGCACAGGAAATTAATATATAATTAAAAAGACCATCAGTAAGCAATGTAAAAAAGATAGATCATTATACAAACACTGCTTAAAACACAGTTAACTTTTTCAGAAAAAATGCAAAATGAAATCTCCCTCCATAACATGTTATAGGATGAATTCCAAATGTATCAAAGAGTTAAAAATAAAGCCCTAAGACAAAAAGACATTGAAAACTTAAGAGTAATGGTAATAATTACATGCAAAACTAATTTATTGGAAAAAATAATCATATGACAAGCATTCAGATTTTATCTCATCAAGCCCCCAAATTGGTATAAAGAAAGGAAAGCTTGAGGGATAATACTAAATTTCTCTGGAGACACAGGACAGCACAACAACTATGACCTAACTAGCCCTGCTAAAAAAGTATTTTTTTGCATGGTTTTTAAGAAAAAGTTCATTGATCAAGTTATTGAATACAATCTTAATATTCTCTTTAAGTAATTGGTAATAATAAACTGAATTGAATTCTAACAAAATTGAATTTCTCCTTTAAATCACCTAGCTTGCCACATTTTACTAGCATGGAATAGATATTTAGTTCACAAGGCACTGTGATTGGATGAGAATAACAAATAAAATGACTACACAACTAATATATTTTGAAAGGTCATTGGACAATTTCTATCCCATTTTTACAACCCATTCATAATTCTACCCAGGTCTTCCATAAATATTGAAGCAGTTAAAATGGTAAAACATCATTAATCAACTTCAAAGTGATACGTATTTCTTATTATATTTTGATAATGCTTTGAAACCTGCTTTTTACCTCTGTGGTCATTGTACTTAAACTAACGAGACTAACAAACTCCAAACTCTGGGCAATTCTCTGTGATAAAGCAGGAATCATGGGGAGCTGTACCTGCTCATTTACACCATGTATCTTGGACCTCACTGATATCCATTCTATAGCCTGTTTGTTGCTTTTGTAGTAATACAAAGTAGGAAACAAATCTCATTTAAATCATTTTTGCCAGTTATCAAATATCCCAATGTCTGACTTAGTTTAGGACTAATTCTACCATTTCTCACCTATCCATCGTTCTTGTTCATGATCCAAACTATAAACTCAAAGAAAGATCTCTCTTCATGTGTCTTCACACTGCTCTGAACTTTCTTTGCTATGTAATCATACACATGTCTACCATTCTAGAATTGACATCACAATTAGCAATCTCCTCCAACATTCTTTACTTCCAACCCTAAAGTGAAACTTTCCCCAAGGATGCTGCTTTATCTACAGGCCTCTAAAAAATGTGTCCACTTGTTTTCTCTGACTCAAAGTTGGAAAATGAGAACATTTTTTTTCTCTCTTTCTAGTGACATGATAAGAACAATCAATTATTAATTTATTCATAAAGTTACTTCCTTTTCTGAGGTGAAAATCATGTAGTTATAACCCTTGTATCATCAAACGTCTAACCCTGGTCTACTGTCAATTGTTTATCTTATGTCATTCCTCTCCCAGTTTTATAGGCTTCAGTCATATTAACCTTTATTTAACCCCTAAAATGCACCAGTCTTGTTCCTGCCTTGAAGCCTTTATGTATGCTGATTTCACACTGGCAACGTTCTTCTTTACCAATATACTGTAATAGACGAGCATCACTACTGGCCCATAATTACTACTACAGAAATACTTATTAAAATAATAAATTATGTGTGTTTTCTTGCTCCCCAACTCTATGATCCCTACTACCATCCTTCAGTACCTTCTTCTTTCTCCCCTTCAGGCCTCATAAAGAAATTATAAAAAAATGTCAACAGTCTGAAGAACAGGGTAGTCTCAGAGATGTGGCAGTAGAGTACAGACTGACAATCCTCAGAAGGGGGGGGAGATAAACCACAGAACTTATATGCATATATGCATAACCAATGGACATGGACAAAAATGCTGGGGACAGGGTGAGGAGGGAGGGGGAGAAGGGTGTCAATGGGGGATAAAGGAGAAACATCTGTAACAGAAATAAATAAATTAAAAATAAGAAATTATAAACAAATGTCAAATCACTGTTGTAAACCAGAAACTAATATGATGTTGTATGCCAACTATAATTTAAAAAATAGCCTGGCCGATGTGGCTCAGTGGTTGATCATTGAACCATACACCAAGAGTTCACCAGTTCGATTCCCAGTCAGGCACATGCCCAGGTTGTGGGCCCAATCCCCAGTGGGGGGCATGCAGGAGGTGGCCAATCAATGTTCTCTCTCATTGATGTTTCCATCTCTCTCTCTCTAAAAAGCAATAAAGAAATATATATACATATATATATATACACATATGTGTATATTAGTACTTATTGTATATATATTTGAAATACTACTTCATCAGAATGAGAATTGAATTAGAGAGGGCCTGAAAGGAATTCAAGAGTCCAGTTAGAAAGGTATAGTAATAATTGAGGAAAGGAATTATGGTATCCGTACTGAGGCAGTGGATGGATACAAATATAAAAATAATAACATACATTACACTTGATAATTAAATATAAGTGGTGGAAAGGGTTATGGAGGAATCAGTTGTAATTATAAGAAATTTTAATCAAATTTTTATTTTGAAAAATTGTAGATTCACAGGAAGTGGCAAAGAGTACAGTGGTACAGGGGTTCTTTGCAACCACAACCTTCTCACAGTTCCACTCAAAGGTTAGATCTTATGTAAATATAGCACAAAATCAAAACCAGAAAATTAACATTAGTGTAAAGTGTGAGTATGGTACTTTGTCATCTTATCACATGTGTAAATTTGTGTCAAATCTATCATGACAATCAAGGTATAGAACTGTTCAATCATTTGCCTTATGCTACTCTGTTACAATCACACCCACCACCCTGACCCTCACCATCCCTAAGCCCTTGAAACTACTAATGTTCCTCTATCCCCATAATTTTATTATGAGAGAATGTTATAAATGGAGTCATGCAGTATAAGATCTCTGTAATTCTCACCATCATGATGTCAAAATATTCAATTCATTTTCAACACTGACTACTTGAAGTTAGCATCTGATTCCACAAGTTAAAAAGCTCATTCCTACACATTATGCCCACTTCAGATACCAGCCACAAATGGGGTACCCAGGCTACCTAATCTTCTGCCCAGTGACCTAAAAGTTTGGGGGTTCCCATAACTATCCACTTAATTTCAATAGAATAGCTCACTGAACTCAGAATAACATTTTACTTATGTTCACCAGTTTATTATGAAAGATACAACTTAGTAACAGCCAAATAGAAGCCAAATACAAAGGGCTAGGGTTGGGGGCTGGAAAGGATGAAGAGTTTCCTTGCCCTCTCTGGAGTATAACCCTCTCAGCACCTTAATGTATTCATCAACCTGGAAGCTCTCTGAATCTCACTCTTCAAGAGCTTTTATGGAGCTGTCTCCAGCCCACTTCCTCTTGGGTAAGGTGTAGGGAAAATGTCCCAAATCTCTAATTGTTACAGGATAAATAAGTCCATCCAATTTCTCCATTGCTAGTGGGAAAGGAGCTCTTGTGATATCTTCAGAAAATGAATTTTCTAAGACTCACATGAGAGAATAAATGGTTTTTATTTGCATGAAATTATATTCCTTGGTTTGCAAAATCTCAATTCCCTTAAGCCAGTTCTATAAAAGGAGTGGCTGGGGATTCAGCAGTTAGAAGTAGGGCCGGTGTCCTGAGCTTCCGTTCCATGGTGGAGTTGGCATTAGACTAGTCACAGTCCATCAGTCCATTGTGGGGGTCCCACATGGCTGTGAGCTATGTGGGCAAATGAAGGGCATAAGAGCCCCACAAGCCAGAAGTCAGATCCAAGCAGCAAGAGAGAGAGCCAAGACTGGCAGAAAGAGAATTTTCTTTTTTTCAAGAGATTATATATCTCAGAGTTTGTGTTCTTGCAGTGGTCACATCTATTCTGGCCACTGACCTGTTTTCAGGTGTGACTGACAGGTAAGTATTTTTTTCACTTCACCCAGAACCTTCTGCCATCACTCTGTGGGGAGTACACATGGTGAGTGTTAACTGCATTTTCCTAGAACATTTGTATAAAAGTCATGCCTATATTATTTAGTTTTCCCTTTACTCATTTCCTGTTAAATAATATAATGGTACCAAAATCACATTTTTTAGTGACCAGCTCCATCCTGAGGTTATCTAGGGCTCCTACCTAAATCAACTAATTACCATGAACTCAAATGTGATTCAAAAGGGCTTATTATGAATAACAAAATAGACTCCCTTTACTCAGGAAATTTCAAAAATTTTAGAAGCTCTGTGCCAAGAACTAGGAACAAATACTAAATACATTTTTGTTATTAATCACAGAACTTTTGAGATTCGCTTATTTCACACAGCAAATTGTCCTTAACATCCATCCAAGATGTTATATCAATAGTTTGCTTCATTTTGTTAATCTCATTCCATGGTATGTATGTATCACATACTATGATAAACATCTGATTGTTTCTAGTGCTTTGGTTAATATGAATAAAGCAGCTAGGAACATTAATCTACATGCTTTTATGTGGACATAAGGTAAATGATTCAGGTTGCATATTTTTGAATAAAATACTTATGATAATACAAATAATGATTGCATCCTTTGCCTATTATTTTGAAAACTTTTCTTGTATGCACCCTAAAATAATCATTCTGGGTAAGAGTCTTTCTAGTTGCTCAAATATCAGTCAGTAAAAATAGGAAAAATATGGGGGTGGAATGAATAGAACTTACACAGACAGTCTCCCAGGACCAAACTGCAGTTACAACTAAAATAAAGACAAGTGCCCTGGCTGGTTTTGCTCAGTGGTTAGAGCGTCTACCTGCAGTCCAGAGAGACCCGGGTTTGGTTCCCGCTAAGGGCACGTACCTCGGTTGCAGTTTGTCCCTGGCCCTGGTTGGGTAGTGCGAGTGGCAACCACTTGATGTGTCCCTTTCACGTCAATGTCTCTCTCTCTCTCTCTCTCTCTCTCTCTCCCTCTCCCACTCTATCTGAACAAAATATCCAAAAAGTGTCCTCGGGTGAAGATAAAAAAATAAATAATAAAAATAAATAAGGACAAGTTATCAGAAAAAACAGCTGGTGAGAATCCATATAACCAGAGATAAAAAGAGGTAGAGTTCAGAGTAATGATTATGAGGAAATTCAAAAGCATGAGTAAAGATGTAGAAACATTGCAAATCAACCAATTGGAAAGAAAAACCACCAAGCAGAAATGAAGAATGTAATAGCAGAAATAAAGAACACAGCGTAGAGAATCAGATCAGTGAATTAGAAGACAGGGTAGAAAAAATTACTCAATTAAAGAACCAAAAATAAAAATAAAATAAAATAAAACAGGAAGACAGCTTAAGAGAACTGTGGAAAAATATGAAACATAATAATACCTGCATCATAGGAGTTCCAGAGGAATAAGAAAATAAGCAAAGGTTAGACAATATATTTGAGAAAATGGTGACAGAAAAGTTCCTTAACTTGGTGAAAGAAAAAGTCTTACACGTTCAAGAAGTACAGAGAACACCAAGTAAGAAGAAGCCAAACAGGCCCAAAGAAGACCCATCATAATTAAATACCAAAAATTAAAGACAAGAAAGAATCCTAAAGGCAGCAACAAGTAAGCAACAGGTAACCTACAAAGGAGCACCCACACTATCAACTGTCTTCTCAGATGAAATACTAGAGGTCAAAAGGGAATAGCATGAAGTAATCAAGGTAATGTAAAATAAGGATCTGAATCCAAGACTACTCTATCACATCAAGGCTATCATTCAAAATAGAAGGTTAAATAAAGTTTCCCAGACAGAAAAAGGCTAAGGGACTATATTTGCGCCAAACCAGCACTACAAGAAATGTTAAAAGGACTGCTGTAATGAGGGGAAGAAATAGGAAGCGAAACATGACTATAATAAACAAAAATTAAAATAAATAAGTAAATATCAATAATAACCATAAATATAAATGGATTAATTGCTCAGATCAAAAGACAGAGAAGCTGAATGAATAAGAAAGTATGACTCATATATATGCTGTTTACAAGAAACTCACATCACAACAAAAGACTCTCAGAGTTTGAAAGTGAAGGGATGGACAAAACTTTCCCAAACAAATGAAAAGGACAATAAAAGCTGAGGTATCAAACACACATTCAACAAAATAGACTTCAAAATGAAGGCCATAACTACAGACAAAGAAGGCCACTATATAATATTGAAAGGATCAATCCAACAGAAGGATATAACCTTGGTAAATATATATGCACCCAATATAGGGGCACCAAAACACATTAAAAATTTTTTGGAGACCTTCAAAGGAGAAATTGACAGCAATAAAATCACAGCAGGGGACTTCAACACACCAATGACAGTACCATATAGTTCCTCTACACAAAAAATTAACAAGAGACTCTAAATGATGCACTAGATCAAATGGACTTAATAGATATCTACTGATAATCACACACCAAAACTGAAAAGTACATATTCTTCTGATCTTCACATGGGATATTCTCAAAGGTAAACCACATATTAAGACAAAAACTAAGTCTCTACAAGTTCAAGAAGATCAAAACCATATAAATCATGTTCTCAGATCACAGTGGCATAAAATTAGAAATCAGTTACAATAAAAACACTGAAAAACATTCAAATACATGAAATCTAAACAGCATGTTATTAAACAATAAATGGGTTATCAAGGAGATCAAGGAAGAAATTAAAAATTTCCTGGAAACCAATGAAAATTAACACACAAAAACACAAAATATATGGGATGCAGCAAAAACAGATGTGAGAGGAAGTTCAGAGCCCTACAGGCCTACTTCAAAAAGCAATAAAAAGGAGACCGAAAAATGGCGGCGGAGTGAACTGAGCTACACAGACCGTCTCCCAGAACCAAACTGGAATTACAACTATAACACAGACAAATCGACGGGAAAAACCAACAGAAAAGCAGCTTGGAGGACCATACAACGAGGGACACTGACTCCATCCCGGTAGGCTTGCGAAGGCTCGAGACGGGGCTGGGAGCCCACGGTCGGCAGCTCGGCAGCGGCCTCAGATATAAGCGGTGCCCGCGGGTTACACTCCCAGGCGGCCCCACAGCGCAGCCGGGACAGAGGCTGAAACAGCCACAGCCACTCACCTTGGGCTCCGGCAGAGGGATGGCAGACTGGACTGGAACTGTGTCGGGACACTCGGGGTTTGGAGGGTGCTCAGAGCTTTGGCTGAGTTGCTGCCACCCAGAAAGGTGGCCACATTGATCCTTCCCAGAGCTCTGAGGAGAGGCAGCAGCCCCTCCCTCGGAGACCCAACCCCACCCTGTGGGCCATTGAAGTGTTAATTGAGGATCACTAACGACCAGCATCTGCCCCACCCTCATGAAAGCCCCATGGCTGAGCACCAGAGGGAGTTTTTCAATCAACTGACAACCCAAAACTCATCAATTAACCTAGACTGCTAGCCTCCAGGCAAAAAGCTAGAGGATAACAGTACGTTTCCTGGGCTGGCAACTTTAACCAGGAAAGTAAGACTTGACAGTGGTGTTCAACGCGGGTCCTCCCTCGCTCATCTAAACACAGGAGAGGGAGCCACAAACAGAAGAACACCAACACCCACAGGGAGAACTTGACAGGCTCCAAAGCCCACAGTGATAGCTAAAATGGTGAAACACAGAAACAGAAGCCAAATGAAAGAGCAAGCCACCTCCACCGAAGATGAGATCAATGTGGAGCAATTAGGCATGTTAACAGAGCTAGAATTCAGAGCCATGATCTTGAGGAAGCTGAACAGCATGAGTAAGGACATAGAGACACTGAAAATAAGCCAAATGGAAATTAAGAACCAACAAGAAGAGATAAAAAATGACATATCCGAAATGAAAAACACATTGGAAGGTTTAAAAAGCAGAGTAGGGGAAGCTGAGGACCGGATCAGTGAATTAGAAGACAGGGTAGAAAAAATCAACCAATCAGAAAAACAAAAGGAAAAAACTATTAAAAAACAGGAAGACAGCTTAAGAGAACTATGGGACAACTGGAAACGTAATAATATTCGCATCATAGGAGTCCCCGAAGAAGAAGAAAAGGAGCAAGGGATAGAGAATATATTCAAAAAAATAGTGAGAGAAAACTTCCCTAATTTGGTGAAGGAAGAAGGCATTCAAGTTCAAGAAGCACAGAGAGTCCCAAGTAAGAAGAACCCAAACAGGCCCACACCAAGACACATAGTAATTAAAATGCCACAAATTAAAGACAAAGAGAGAATCCTAAAAGCAGCAAGATATAAGCAACAGGTTACCTATAAAGGAAACGCCATAAGGCTCTCAGCTGACTTCTCACAAGAAACACTACAGGCCAGAAAGGAATGGCATGAAGTAATCAAAGTCATGAAAAACAAGAATCTGAATCCAAGACTACTCTACCCAGCAAGGCTAACATTCAAAATAGAAGATCAAATAAAGAGCTTCCGAGACAAAAAAAAGCTAAGGGAATACATT